ATAGTTGCGCGTGATAGTCAATAGTAGTAAGATATTTCATTACTGAAATTATCTCACTCTCGTGATTACATTTTCATAGGACAAAGTAGTGATCGTGGTAAGGAAAAAGAGTCAGGACTGGCTTAGAGTTGTTGAAACTATATGAACTCAGAGTATTATGTAATGAATCGAAAACTTGAGAATATATATGTAAATAAGTTGCCATAGGAGATTGCATGCATGGTTGAGTTGTGTTTTGTTGAAAGTATAGAAATTGTAATGAATGTTGTGAGTTTTTAGTGAATCTTAACCAATGTGTGAAATTATGATAAAATGAGTAATTCGAGGCTAAGATTGAGTTGTGATTATGTTATGAATGTGGATACATGTAAATTTGTGGTAGAAATGCTCAAGTGGGCTAGTTTGTGTTAAGTGGTGAAATTTTGTAAAACATGAAAATGGGCTATTGAACGCCCAAAATTTGATATACGTGCACACTTGTGATATAATGTGGTCAATCAGGTGTAATAGATTTTTTTAGACTTGGTTCAAGACCTTGTGTGATCTAATGTAACAAATGGATCGATTTAAGCACTTGAGTGCGTGAAATTCTTTGAAAAAGTGACTTTTTATAACTGGACATTCAAATTTTGATCAGATCATTAGATCATATCCAAACCATCTCATTAGTTAGCTTATGTGATAGGCTATGTGTGGGTGCTTGAATCACTCCGATCGGACATCATATGTGAAAATAACGCATGCCAGAATTTTGTCATTTATGCTGTTAAATGACAACAGCAAATTCGGACTGACGCGTCATGGCACATGACACAAATGAGAACTAGGTGTGTGGCTCTGTGCTATATGTTGCAGAGTAAGTATTGCACGTGGTAGCACATAGCCTATACTTCAACTTGATTTTGCAATTTTTAAAGCATGCAATAGTTTATATGAATGCATGTGACTTGCTTTCATTGTAAAATTTTTTGACATGTTGTGATTCGATGATTTTGCAAAATGATTCTTAGATCCAAGTTTTTTAAACAAAGTTTTTTATTACCAATTGTTGTAATTAGTAGGGTGATTAAATTAACCTTCTCTTATATCAAGTGGATATAGGAGGGGGTTACATAAAGACTTCATATTTACATCATCTCATCAATTATTTACAACTATCTCTTCATATATTTAATAATAAACTTTCAAATTCAACCTCCCACATAAATATCTTATTTTTACACATGAAAATCACATATTTATATTGAAATATTCAAGAATTTACAATCAAAAATTCAAATCTCAATGTTCGTGAATTACATAGAACATTGGTAGACCTCAAATGCCATTCCAGTACAACAGAAATTGTCAAATCATCGCAACAAATAGTGCCATTTTTAATATATTACTATTTATATTATTTTCGAAACCCAAACAAGGTAGATGATCATAATGAGAATAGAATAATAATGAAATAAGATGAAATTTGATTAGCTAAGCAATCTAGAAAAATGAAATAAAAAGCCAAAATCTCATTCATTCAAGCAAACCCTAACAAGAATATGGCATAAAATCAAGATCGGTGGGTAAAAATTAAAAAGCTAAATATTTCATAATGCTTAATTTCTTCATTTAAAAGTATAGATATTTTTAATTAAATTTTATTTCAATAAAATAATTATTTACTTTTAAATTAATTTTATCTTTTCATATTTACCTATATTAAATACTCTATAATAAATATAAAATTATTATTAATAGAGACACTTTTAAAAAATAATAATTATATTTTAAAAAATTAAAAATATTTTATATTTTTTAATATTAATTTCTTAAAAATATTTTTTAACAAGAGAAGTGGCTGAAAATCACACGGTAGTTGCGAACACATACATGAGACAGGGGGAGAAGACAAGATGGGAAGGAAGATGGAAGACGAAAGATGGAAGATACACCTAAACTAGCACAAACAGAAAAATAACAAGGATGTCCCTAAACGAGGAAGATGAACGACGAGGAAGGCAAATGACGACGAAGACGTCCGTGAATGAGAAAGATGGAGATTGTTGCATCTAAGATGGGAAAGACAATGATGGCAGAGAAATCTCAACTTCCATCTCGTGGTACTTCACTTTGGCGTTTTCGAACAGCAAGTGTGTTTAGGGCTTTGGAATTTTTTTGTGGTTTCGCGCCAATTTCATTTTCTCAAGCAAGGGTAATATGATCTTTTCTCACATTTGAAAAATTACAATCAAATCCTCAGAGATATGGCTATAATTTTAAATTTTGTAGTACTTATATGTCAATAAATTTCTTATATAGGACCTACACGAAATTTTCCCTTGTATTTTTTGCTAGACTTGGTAGGAAGTGGGATGTGGTGAATGGAGGTTTTCTAATGTATTTTTGAGTCTTGCTTGATAGAGAGGAAAATTGTTTTATGCTTGATTTTGAACTTTTCCTCAGCCACTGCCAACTATTTTCTTTTTCGTAATTTTGTAGCTTGATATAAGGGATCTACAATTGACTATTATAAAAAAAAAAAAAAAAGAAATTGTCTATGACTCAATACTTCCCGCTAGTCCTAGCTTTCGGTGATCTCAGCTCGAAGGGGAGATGATTCTATAGCAAGCTAAGATAATGTCAAGCATCTTGAAGACTGCTCCATATCCAAGGTATTTTTTTTTTAAAAAATCTTTTTTAAATAATTTATTTAATCATCTCTGCTCCAAGATTCTGAAATCTATAGTGTGATGTATTCATATTAATCATTAACTAGTTGAAAAGATCAATCCATTGCGAGGGTAAAGATACAAGTACTTGCCTTCACACCAGGAACAAAGGAAATAACGATCTCGCATATGTTATATGGAGATTAGGTTCTGATTGTATCTTAAAATGGATAGATTATTCAATGAATATGTCAAATTGATCTAGCCATAGGTTCTACTTATAATCTAGTTTTGTATAGATGGTATGTGTTGGCAGATGATCAGTTCCCTCAAAATCCCGAATTTATTATTGTTAACGAGTGGCTAGTTTTCTTTGTTCCTTTGACGACTAAAAATGTCATCTGTTACTTGTTGTGAAGTCATGACCCTTTTTGGCTTCGGTATCCTAGGTAGACCAGATGTATCTATTACTAGTTTATTGCCTCGACATTACATGCGTTGCTTGATATTGCATGATGTAGATCCTCATATGAAATTCAAAATATAACTGCACAAAAAAATATAACTGCACAAAATTAGACATGTCTCATTCCTAAGCTCTCATTGTATAATAAATTGATTTCACTCAAAGAAGGCGTCGTTCATTTCACGAAATCCCTACATGAGTTGAAATTTCAGTTTATGAAATGCCGGTCATATTTTAGTTTTAAGCATAAATCGCAATGCTTGTGGTCAAGAGTAATCCTTTATTGCGAAATGGCATGTGCTAAGCACTAGGATTAACCCTAACCTTGGATGGATTACTTTGGTGCGCATATAAGAATTGAATAAAGAATCCTGATATTCTTCAATAGTAGTTTTATCCTATTAGCTTCTTAACTCTCACCTTCTTTGCATGCTCTATTTTAAGATTATGTGGCTTTTTCATAAGTCCTTACGAAACGTGGTGAACTAGCGGTGAATTAGAGCGAGGTTTGTGCCTCTTTTGAATAATCGTCACCACTCAGTGTCTGTGCTTGTGCATTCATAATTCATCTATGAACACCTCTTGCGAAGGTTGAAATTAGAAAAAGAGGTAGAAGGAGAACCTATAGCTATAGCTACGATTTCTACTCCTAAAGCCCCAGGATAGGAGCATAAAGAGTTTGGTATCAAAAAAGTAGATGCTGTAATCAGTTCAGTTTGATATGCATTTGTTCAAAATTCTTTTGTTGCTAGACTATTCTGAAATTTGAGTTTTCATCGTAGTGCATCAGGCACTTGGGTGTTCTTAGTAGCAGGAGCATTGCTGGCAATTTCGGTTGGGAAAAAGTGCAAGTCTCTGGCGCCGCTTGTATTTTTTGGAACGAAAGGCACTATGCTGGACATCATCATTGGAATTAGTCAATGCAAAAGGGAACATGCAGAGTGCCAAATGAAGCTACTTTAAGCTCAAGCTGCTGCAAATGACGCACCAACTGGAACTGATTCATAATATTCCTGTATTCTTAGTATTGTCAACTTATATTTGTAGACGGGTGTAACAAGCATGCATTTTTTGGTTGCTTGTTTGTCATGCTGGTGAATAAGAAAGAAACGATTTCTTTGTTAGTTGATTGACGTCCCCTTCCATTTCTAAGAGGCTGGGTATTTGATCTTTTTATGTCCTGCGGGTAAGGTCATTTCACTGGGAAGCATTGAAGAGAGGCTGATCTTACGAATTTTGATATTTAATTTCACCCTTATTTTCATTCCCTCTACATGCTTAGGTTGCAACAACTTTAAAGTGAAAGATAATTTGACATTCCCATTCACGGCTTTAGTTTTTCACCATACGCTCGCCATAATTTTGTTGGGAATAAGAATCTCAATAATCTCAAACATTAAGGGCCATTGATTTGTAATTCAATCATCGTCCTATATTTACTTGGAAAAATCGCATCTAACTCCTCTCAAAGAAATTCATTACAAATAATGATTAATACAAATGAATTATTATTAAATGAAAACATGATTTTTTTTTTTCAAATAAAACTTATTATCAGTTCTTATTTGTGATTAATTCCCCTAAAAAAAACTGAATGTGATTCTCCCTAATTATTTTAGCCTTATATTTAAAACGCGTCTATTCATCATGGTAAGAAGGCAACATTGTGACTAACCATCTTGCCAAGCTTGCTCTAAATCGTTGGCCTAGTTTCAATAGAATAAACTTCCGCCTTTGCATATTGTTATTCTTCTTTTAGTTGATTGTAATAATCCACCCCAGCTTTAGACTGGGTGTGCCTCTCATTATAAAAAAGCGTCTGCACATCTGACTGTTCATGCACCTCAAACATTAATTGTTATCTTCTGAAGACGGTGGAGCCATACATGAAGAAGCAGATTTTAATTGATGAAAAAATTTTGCCTTACAAACCTTTTAAACTAAATTTGTAAGAAGTTGCAAAATTGAGCAAGCAAAAGTTGATACATGGTATTTACATAGTTCTGTTGCAAGGCATTGATGCAGAAATCATTTCGAACTTCCCATGTTCTGTATCTAAACTGGAATCGACAGCAATCTCAAATTTCAGAGGCATGTTCTTTCCTTGTTGAAGCAGCAATTTTAGAAAAATTAACCAGATATGATAAGAGTTGAAGTTTACAACATCGCGATGCCTTCTCTCCACTCGTAAGCCTTTCTCAGCATTTGATGGACAAGAACTGGAAAGTCCTTTCACAGAACCATTCAGGTTATTTTCCAATCTGACAGTAGCATCTTTACCCTTGTATTCACCTCTTTTAGGTTGTTTATCAAGCATTTGTTGTCTATAACTTGAACTGACCTTTTCAGCCTTGATGTTCCCAAACAAGATTTCTGCAGCTCTGTTCTTGACGAGGACTGGCATGTAATCTGATTCATCCCACAAATATAGCTGCCAAAAAGTGTCCCTAATGGATAAGTTGGTATGACTAATATGGAAAATAAGGAAAAAAAAAGTCTTATAATCAGATATATAACATTATGTTTTCGTGACTATGAAACATAAAATATAAGCAAATAAGAATGTAGTTTAAAATATCCAAAATTTTAAGAGCTTGCTCGACGAAACAAATTTGTTTCGCTAGTAGATTACTTGTTTGATTTGTCGAAAATAAACTAAATATAGGCATTTGAAACAATGACAAGAAGCCTCTCTATAACGATTAAAGCTGACAATAATTCAATGCAGCGAATGACATAATCCTAAATACTAACTTAGTAGTGGTGACAATTAGATGAAGAAATATGAAAGAACTTTTACCATGAAAGGCCTGTATATCAAACATACTGCATGAAGACGGCTTGAGCTTTTTGAACAACTTAGTGGAATAACATTTTGATCATACCTAGGGAAAAAAAAAAAAAAAAGCAATGGATCGTGATAACCATGGTGGTAGCTTCTGCTACAAGGCTAAAATTTAATGCTTTAAATGCATACTCTGTACCCATGGGTGAACCACATAACTGACAACCAGTGCATATGAGATCTTCCACCAAGTTATCCCCAGTTTTGTGGACTCTTATGCTAAGGAAAATTTTCCCTTTCTGGATATCACTAAGATCCATTGTGTTCACTTGTAGAAAAATTTCACCGATAAATGCACTAACTACAGCGTTCCAAGATGATGTTAGCTGAGATACTTCTGAAAGTGAAAAACAGTCTGTAGGCATTCGCTCTTCCAGCACTTTCCAGTTTTTTAGGCAGATGCCCTGTTAGCTGAACATATCACAATAAATATTATTCAGAACATACACATCAAGGCAGCATGAGATGAAGCATACTGACCAAAATAGCATTAGTAAAATGAATGAAGCAACGGAGTCAACTTTTGAAGAAAGATTATTCATCATGTGGAAATCAAAACATAAAATATTGATTATCTCTGATAAATAATCAGAGTAAAAACAGTTAAGTAACCAGGAAAAGGTAAAAAAAAAAAAAAAAAGCTGGGTGACTTTGACGTCCTGCAATGTCAAATTAATGTTCACTAACAAAACAAAACAATAAAAAGATTTTCAAGCCTTTAAAATCTAAGTTCTGCCTGTCCTGTTGAGCACAAAGAACACTTGACATGCTAAATAACAAAATATGAACACGAGGCCAAAACACACCACTTAAACCTACAATATGACATGAAAGGAGACCAGAATCATACCTAGAATTAAACCTACATTTATTCTTTTTTCAGAGTTTCGCCACCCTTTGATAAACTTCATGTCCACACCATTATCATGACTAGCTGTTTTCTGTAAATGTCCTATTTCTTCCTCCCAAGGGCACATAATGCATGACAAATGCAATTGATGGAAGTATTATGTCTAAGAGTACACATGTATTACAAGCACATAAAACCTCATCTATTTTTAACTTTTTAAGAATCACAGATAGAATAAGACAGATAAATTAAGTGCACTAGACTATACAATAGGCCTGAATAGAGAATAATCAAAATCTCAACTATAGACTTAATGAAAAACAAGGGGACTAAAGAGAAGAGATACATCATATCATATCATGACTCAAGTCACACGATGGCAAAACTATCAATGGAACGAAAGGTAATGCTGCTTGGAAATCACATTGATTTACAGAAAAACAAACAAGAACATGTCATGAATCAAAATCCTTGTCAACCGATCCCCTCCAAAAAAGAAGGAACTAAAGAAAAGAAATATACATGTATATACATATATATATGTATGTATAAGTATGCAATCAAAGAAAAAACCTTTAAAAAAATATAATAAATTGCAACAACGTATAAGCAATGACATTACTTGACAGGAGTTATGTTACATATGTTAGGCTTAGACTGCTGCACGCACTTTATGACCTTCCTAAGTTTGTCCTTACTAGTTATCCCAACGCGACAGCCTGCCACCAACTCTTCTATATCTGCATTGTAAAACATTATATTGCACTCCATTTGTTTTTTTCTACATCAAAAAAATTTTAAATAAATAAAAATGTACTGCAAACTCAATTATTGTATTCTATGACTCAACTAGGAAAATCAAGTTATAAAACTTGAATCTATTAAGCATGGAATAAATCATATGCAAGCACGTCCAGACTCACAGCAAAACCTAATGACTAATGCACAAATGGATAAAAGGCAACAATACATTAAGTAATTAACTTTCTAACTGCCAGTTATTCATATAGGTCATTCTGAGCTGACAAGAAGCCGACAAGAGAATAAGAACATACCTTTTGAGATAAGTAACCGTAAGGGTGGATCAAACAAAGCAGCGACGACCATTGAACAGTTCTGGCCTCAACAATATCTCCAAATTTTACGATCTTCACATCTACCATATGCCAAAAATAAAATTATGAATAACAATAAATAATTATCTATATTTATATAATAATTATTCATATTTTCAGTTGAAGGCCAAATATGACTTAAAAAAGGACGTGATAGAACAGCATAAATAGGCAAAGAAAGTCAAATGAAAGCTACGAGTTTCGGACTACTATATGAACATATAACTAGAACGTAATTTTTATCTGGATTTACATTGTCAGAGGGTTTCTTTGACAACCTTGACCCCTGAATTCAAAGGTATGTTTGAGATTTTAAAAATCAACAGTAAGGAAAAAATTAAGCGACACTGCAAAGTGTGAACATGACAATGAGGTTATGTTTTCTTGATAAGCATCTATAGCTATCAGTAATACCATGCTTTGGTTTCAAGTAAGATTGTAAGATAAATTAACGCAATAGGGCCCCTGAATTCAAAACATAAATGGTCAAATGAATAACAACTCTTACTTTGTAACAGTATAACATCTCCCACTGATATCATGGATCCCATGCTCTTCTGCCAAACAGATACTCCAAAATACTGCCTCGTATCATCCCCGACTTGAATGTCTGTCCTGATTATGGACCTTCCTTTCGACGACCTACACTGCAAAATGAGAATGAATCGTAAGCCATAGCCCAATCGTGAACAACTAGGGGAGAAATGATATAGAGAAATCATAAACCTGAAACGGAGCGGAGCGATGAACGAAGAGGAGAAGCTGAACAAAATCACCGATGTGAGAAGATGCCTCCGAGAGATCTATAAGGGGACCGTACCATCCCAGAGCCAAAGCCATCTTCAGCTTGAGCCCTAATTAAATGGAACAATCTCAGTGCTCTTGTTCAGTTATCGGCTTCTTGTCATGTCAGAATGACCCACATGAATGGCGAATAGTTAGAAAGTTAATTACTTAATGCATGGTTGCCTTTTATCCATTTGTGCAATAGTCATTAGGTTTTGCTGCAAGTAAGTGCTTGTATATGATTTAATTTAATGCTTAATAGATTCAAGTTTTATAACATGATTTTCCTAGTTGAATCATAGAATTATAATGATTGAGTTTGCAATTCATTTTTTTTTATTAAGAATATTCTTAATGTTGAAAAAACAAATGGAGTGCAACATGATGTTTTACAATGCAGATTTAGAAGAGTTTGGTGGCAGGCTGTAGTGTTGGGATAACCAGTAAAGACAAGCTTGGGAAGGTCATAAAATGAGTGCAGCAGTTTAAAAAACCTAAAATATGTAAGTTAGGTAAGTGAGTGGTCATGTGTGATCATGTTCATAGAAATATAAATAGATGTATTAATGCTTAGCTCACCAAATATCTTATGATAATTTGATATTGTATTTTTTGATGTCTCCCTCTATGTTTGTAAAAGTCTTTTGACTTTAGACAGGATAGATTTTAAATTTTTTTCACAACTTGCTGTGACCATATATTTAAAAAAAAAAAAACCTAACATATGTAACATAAACTCCTATCAAGTAATGTCATTGCTCATAAGTTGTTGCAAATTATAATATTTTTTAAAGGTTCATCTTTGATTGCTCGCACGCGCGCACACATACGCGCACATGTATATTTCTTTTCTTTAGTTCTTTATTTTTTGGGAGGGGGTCGGTTGGCAAGGATTTTAATTCATGACATGTTCTTGTTTGTTTTTCTGTAAATCAATATGATTTTCAAGCAGCATTTCCTTTCGTTCCACTGATAGTTTTGCCATCGAGTGACTCGAGTCATGATATGATGTATCTCTTCTCTTTAGTCCCCTTGTTTTTCGGTAAGTCTATAGTTGAGAATCTGATTCTTCTCTATTCGGGCCTATTGTGTATAGTCTAGTGCACTTAATCTATCTTATTCTGTCTCTCTGTGATTCTTAAAAAAGTTAAGAATATATGAGGTTTTATGAACTTGTAATACATGTGTCATCTTAGACATAATACTTCCATCAATTGCATTTATCATGCAGTATGTGCTGTTGGGAGGAAGAAATTGGACATTTACGGAAAGTATCTAGTCATGATAATAGCATAAGTTAGGTGACGAAACTCTGAAAGAAGAATAATGCAAGGTTAAGTGGCGTGTTTTGGTCTCGTGTTTATACTTCGTTATTTGGCATGTCAAGTGCTCTTTGTGCTCAACAGGACAGGCACAACTTAGATTTAAAGGCTTGAAATCTTTTTATTGTCTTGTTTTGTTAGTAGACATCATCATTTTGACATTCCAGGATGTCAAAGTCGCAGCTTTTTTTTAAGTGTTACCTTTTTCTTGTTCACTTAAATTTTTTACTCTAATTATTTTTTTGTAAGGCCTGCTTAATCAATTTTTTTGGTTTTTGTTTTTCACATGATGAATACTCTTTCTTTAAAGTCGACTCTTTGACTTCATTCATTACTAATGCTACTTTGGTCTGTATGCTTCATCTCATGCTGCCTTGATTTGTATGTTCTGAATAATATTTTCGTGACATGCTCAGCAAACAGGGCATCTGCCTAAAAATTGGAAAGTGCCGGAAGACACAGACATTTTTTCACTTTCAGAAGTATCTCAACTAACATCATCTTGTAACACTATAGTCAATGCATTTATCGGTTAACGTTTTTCTAAAAGCGAGCACAAGGGATCTTGGTGATCCGAGAAAGAGAATATTTTCCTTAGCAAGATAGTCTACAAAACTGGGGATAATAACTTGGTGGACGATCTTATATGCACTGGCTGTCAACTGTGGTTCACCCATGGGTATAGAGTATGGATTTAGAACATTAAATTTTTAGCCTTGTGCACGAACAATACACTATTTTTTTTTAACAAGAGGCACACCCAGTCTAATGTTGGGGTGGATTATTACAATCAGCTAAAAGAAGAGTCACAACATCCAGAGGCGGAGTTTTATTCTATTGAAACCAGGCCGACGATTCAGAGTGGCAAGATAATCAACAATAAAGTTGCTTTCTTAACATGACAAATAGACGCCTTTTAAAAACAAGGCTAAGGTAAATATAGAAAGATGATAGAATAACAAATCAATGGCCCTTGATGTTTGAGATTATTGAGATTTTTATTCCCAGAAAAATTGGGATGAGGGTGGGGTGAAAACTGAAGCCGCGAATGGGAAGTTGAGTTGTATCTTTCACTTAATGTTGTTGCAATATAAGCAAGTGGAGGGAATGAAAATTAGGGTGGAATTAAATATCAAAATTCGTGACATCAGCCTCTCCTTAATGCTTCCCGTTGAAAAGACCTTACCCACTGGACAAAAAAAAGATCATATACCCAGCCTCTTCGAAATG